ACATCCTACACTGTGATGCATACACATCTGGTAAATCGCACACCACACAGAAGGCGTCATTCTGTGGTATGCATACTGAACAGATCCCCGCCCTACAACGGTCCAAATCGAATCCCGTAATATGCTTAAAACCTAGACTTTGCAAATAGGCCTATCCAAGTACATTCAATCATTCCTATTGTCATGACAAATTTGCAGGTTCCGGCTATGTCTGGTCAGCGAATTTAATCGTAACCGCACATCAGTTGCATTGTATGTCGATTATATCAGCGAGTAGTCGTTGAAGCGTAGTGTAACCGGAAGAGCTAGTGAGGAGGTGCCCTCAGACATCCCATTGAAATGCTGATTGGGTGCAACCGATCATGGCGACAATGTTGTACTACTTCGGATCAAATTCTGCACACACAGAAAAAATACAGAAAGCATCATAGAACTGGTTTATTGAATGGATATTTTGTCGCATAGGCGTGGCACGAGTCAAAGCAACTTCCCTCGTGGTCACCATACTGCGTGTCACGAAAACTCACTATCATTTAAGTATCAAGCTGTAAATAGTCGAGGATAAATCACAACAATTAATGAAGAGGTACAAGATCACTAGCACGGTCAGTAGATCTGAGCCTGACCCTAGCGTTTATGCTAATACACTTTGGCCTCTTCGGTGCATGGCCACATGAGACCCTGTTTGCCAGAAGGTATGATCCGATGTACTTATGCCACTCGAGTTGCAAGTCTTACCACTAGCCCATTAGAATGCAGAGGAATACATTTGCAAGCACAGATGAACCAGTGCATTTGGCACTGGGTCGGTGTGTCCAAGCCATTCCACTTTCACTTCAGTGCTGCAAACCTCCTCTCACTATCAGCAGGTGGCAATCCACAAGTGCATGACCAGCTGCCTGGGGCGGCAAAATGGCAAATTCTGCAATAAAATGATGAGGTCAATTCGCCTAAAGCATTTGAAGTACAAAATCTCATTGCCAATTTCATCTTTATAGTGGGTCCATACAATACTTCCTCATCTATGCGTTTCCTTAGAAGGCGTAAAATTTAATTTCACAGTAACAATATCATCAAGTTCCACTGCGCTGTTTTTAATCTGAGGTGAAAGCATGCTCTCTGAATTTCTCACGTTGTGTAATTTTTGTCGGGCAAATCACCATACCAGTGTTAGAGAGATGAGATAAACACTGGAAGCACAGGACTCCGTCGGCTAAACATTCATTCTATAATATTAAAACCTGAAGTACTAAAGTTAAGAAGCAAAAGTGACAGTTCCATTGACAAAAGTGAAAAATGTTTTCTGTTAAAATTGAATTAAGCTTGTCTACAGGCGTGGGAGCAACACCCTTCAGGCATTCTTGGCTCGTTCCTTCAGGCTCTCCTCAGCCGCAGAAGCTCTGAAGAGATCAAAGTCGTGCTGCCGATCGAAGAGCTTAATCTACAAGAGATGAGATAACTTGAATTAAGTTCCCAAAAGCTAATAGCTAATAGTTTAGAAGTCACACAAAATTTTCGAAATCCTCCTTATCATGGAGTTGTTTGACACATATATTGAGCCTATCTACTTCTGCAATAATAAAAGTGAAATATTTGTATCTATCAGTTCCTAACACAGACTGAGGATATTCTCCTACATATTCTGTTAAAAAACTATTTTCAATAGTAGGCAGAGGTAAGAATATGGCAGTTGGGCAAACAACGCCTCTCATCAATGAGTATTGATACACTAGAAGACGACAGACACTGGAGCAATAATCCAACAGAACAAGGTTGAGCTGCACAGATTACCATGACACCTCAGCCCCAAATATATAGTTTTCATCCACAGACCTTAGTAATTTAGAACGATGCTGAAACACCTACATTCGTAACTGAAATGCACCATGACAAAAAGTGCATGTAATTTGGGCATACCCAAGACTCTGGGCAGACCTTCTCATATGCCTTACGAAGGGAGAGACATTGAGAGACACTGACAGTATCGGCGAGCTCATCCGGAACCTGACGACCCTTAGAATAGGCGTCTTTGATGCATTCCCAAAAGGCATCTCGAGCTGCCCAGCAAGTCTTACGCTCCTCTCTGGTCGGAGCCACGCCTTTGAATTTACTGCTACTCGTATCCTTCATCTGAAGCGCAAATGGGCAACGCAACTGTAGCAACAACTAGCCTTCTACAGTGGTCAATAAGCGCTAATTAGAGGCTCAAGTAAGGAGCAGCGCGAAGAAGAGTCAAAAATAAGACCGCCTTCATCCATAAGCCTCATTTCAGTAAACAAAAGCGACCAAAATGCGTCATGCTGGCACAAACATGACAGCTGGTAAGTCAGTTGCACAGAACTCCATTGAGAAACAACTATAAACACAACAAAGCTATGACGCAGCCAAGTGTATGTTTCGGAAGTTAATCAAATCACCAGCTAAAGTGAGAACCAAAACACCCCAGCTAAGCAATAGCGTATTGGCATAAAGTGTCTGCAAACAACCAAGAAGAACTCCAAATAAGCAAGAGCTGAGCTTTATTTCATACATAATACGAAGTCACCGAATGCACCCCAGTTTTCGATGAGAAAGTAAACGGGCGCTCAAATCCTATAAGGGAAATCATAGTTAACAATAAACTGGGACGTTGCTTTTAAAACAATTATCTTACTGAAAACAACTAACGTTAGTAAAATTTAACCAACATAAATAAAGGTCGCGATACAATTAAGCCCAAAAAAAGACAAAGTCGTAATGAGAAGAAATTATCAGAGAAATTGGATTTCGCGGATAATCACCTTTTCAAATTCAGTGCTGCGAAAAACTTGTCATGCTATGAAACTTTATTGCCATTAAACACTAAATTCTGGGTTAATCTCTTCGTCTCACAATTCCAGGTCAACTTAAAAACAAGTAAGCTCGAGTCTATCAAATGTCAATTTTGGCGTAAAATTATGGACAAAACTAAATACGCACCTTTTGACGATCTGAACTACATCTTCGTCATCAAGAACATGGTCTTTGCCTACCCTTTGGGGTTGATGCTTTACTGAAGAGCCCCAGACGATGGCACTTGAAAAATTTCCGACAATTAATGTGGGCAATAAAAAAATCACAATGTAAAGTACGAAAAAAGCCCGGATTTAAGCCGTAAATGATCGGGAAACATGTTTAATCAACAAAAATGTTCATTCAGTTTAAAAACTTAAGGGAGAACAATGCACTTACTATTTAAATTCCTTGATAATGTTTCTGTGAATCTTGTTACAGAAATCTTCCACAGTATGGGCGGTAGATTTAAGGATAACCGGAGAAGTATAATCAGGTAGCTGGCCCTTCGGTTTCGTATAAATACGAATTAAACTGAGGTAGTCCCACATTTTTTCCAGCAACTCGTCGAAATTCCACTTGTGGTGCGCCGATATTGGCACGCAGTGTGGAACCCTGCAAAAGTCACGCTGGATAACACATGAACGACTTATTATGTCTAAGTAGGACATGTGTCTAAACATCACTGACTTGCATATGATGTCGAGCTCCTCGATAGAAATTTGGTCGATTTTATTCAGGACGTAGATGCAAGGAATATACACCCGATTGCCTTCAACAATATCGATTAAATCTTCAGCCGTGGCGTCACACTTGAAGGTAATGTCCGCATTATGGATTTTGTACTCATTCAAGATGGTTTTGACGGTATCTTTGTCAAGCTCAGTGAGAGGCACGAGAGATTGAAAATTAATACCACCCTTATCCTTCTTACGGAAAAAGATATTCGGTGGTTCCTTATTCAGCCTAATACCGAATCCCTCCAATTCATGTTCAAGGAGACGTTTATGCTGAAGTGGTTTGAGGACATCCAAAACCATCAGAATTAAGGAACAAGTTCTAGCCACTGCGATGACCTAAGATTCAAAATCGATTGTAAGGTGGTACATTCAGCCATTTACCAATAGATGTGCAAGCTAAAGTGTTATTAATGCATTATAATATCAGTAAGTTGAGCTAGGGAGAACTGAGTGATGGCAAAGACACAGAACCAGAAGCAACGCAGCAAATAAGCAATGTTTCGCCTGAATGAGGCCATGTTCACTAGAGGAGGTAAAACGAAAAACGAAAAAAAGAAACGATACCATACCCATTAAAAAAGACACAATATCATACTAGAAAGCACGAAAATTCGCGGTGGATAACAAATCAACAGTCTTTCGATAGAAGGCACGTTACCTGCTTACCGCGACCCTTCCCATCCTTGGCTCCTTCGATAATACCGGGGAGATCAAGAAGCTGAATTTTCGCCCCTTTATAGCGTATGACACCAGGAACTGTGGTGAGAGTTGTAAACTCGTAAGCGGCGACTTCAGAGTAGACACCAGCGAGATTAGTAAGAAGAGTGGATTTGCCAACAGAGGGAAAACCAACAAAACCGACTCGAGCATCACCTGTCTTAGCAACATCAAAACCTTCCCCGCCACCGCCACCGCCACCACCCTTCGGCTCGATCAGTTCTCGTCGAAGTTTTGCCAAACGAGCCTTCAAGAGACCGATATGACCCATGGTCGCTTTGTTTTTTTGCGTCCGGGCCATCTATAAGGGTTAGAAATCAACAGGTTTCGAATGATTAGACCAACGAAATGGCAAGTGCACAAATAGAACCTTTGTTTCGGCGGACTAAGCAACAGAGAATTCACCCTAAAGTTTGAGTAAAACAACGAGAAGTGGATCTGTCAGGCCAAAATAGGGGATAAGATGTGCAGCTGTAAATGGACGGATGTAAAGGAGTGTTCAGGATATTTACACTGATCTTTGTGCACAGATAATTAATTAAAGCCTAGTCTACTTCAAAGCCAAAAATCTAAACTCGCCTCAGCCTCAATCTCGGCAATTTTCTGCAGCACACTCATGATCCAAGTATTAGCGAGGGTACGTTATTTGAAGGCCGCCACACTCCTTTAGGGACATCGCTGTACGATTGACTTTTGCATCACTCCTCCATATCAAAAACTACAACTGCAAAGCCTTTTATTTAGTAAAATTATAGTCATATATTATCTCCCAAACTATAAATCGGAACAGCGGTTCCTCTTGTAATGAAATGCATCTGGCCTATACACGTCCCGCCCTGACCTCTTTATTCAATCCGAATGGCCATTGACGTGGTGCGTGTTTCGTCTGCCTAACTCTGCCCATTTTTAACATGCTTCACTTAAGACTGAACTTTATCACTTCTCTGTTTCCGGTTTATCGGGTCAGATGAATAATAATGTATGTATTTCCGGTTCAATGGATAGTTCATTCCGCCCCTTGGTCGGAATTTGAATGTTACTTTTGTGTATCGTTGCGATTTTAGGCGGGCTCTGTTTTACGAATATTGTCAGCATGCCAAAAAAGAGGGTCAAAGAATCTCTTATACCTCCCTTGGACTTTGTAGCTCCTGTCTCCGCGGGCAGAGTTCCTCTTAACAACGAATTCGTTCATTGTACCGCAAAACATCCCACAGTTAGAAAAGTAGTTTCAATTAAGCAGCCATCTTGGGTAAATTTCTACCACGATTTTCCTGTTAAGCTCAAGTTACGCTTGGCACTGTCACGGAACCTTTGCTTTCTCCTTTAAGATTGAACCTCATTTCGACTTCTCAAAACAACGCCAGCAGCATCTGCGGTCTGCCCCTGCTTTTGGTCGTAGGACCTCGTCGTGCAGAGGTAAAAGCACGATTGGACCTCTCAGCTTTTCATCTGACGGTCAAGCTCTACAGAAGCCGCAAAATGAATCTTTAACTGTAACTTACCGTTGCTTTGTTTCTGGTTTTTGGCATCTTTTAAATCCCGTTGTTGCGAGATTGTCGTATTATGTTTCTGTCTATTATAAACTTCAATGCACGTTTTGCCGTGGTTTGTTAACAAGGTCTAGGGCTTATATTCAAATAGCGAGTATTGGTTGCATCTTCTGCAGCAGCTTTTTTTTGCCCTTGTGATTTGGATAAGAGTCTATGACCTCATTTGCAAAAGTACGCTCATGCGTGTTGTGTCCTAGACTTTGTGCGCAAAGAGCCTCTTATCCTTTGACGTGCCTCACGCGTCCTTGACATTTCTAATCCTAGGGTTCATTTCCCTCCTCCAAGCTGTCGATCACGGTTATATCAAAATCGTCAAATTTATCTAGAACCGTTGTTGATATATTCTTATGCGAGTTTACAATTGGTCATTTGAAAAAGTGCCCTTTACAAATCGTCTGTTATGTTTTCAGTGGTGTCCGGTCTTGTACTATCAATTGCTGACAGTAGTGTTCTTTGCGATTTATTCAGTCTTAATTGAATTTCTCTATTCGAAGCACACAGGTATTTCTTAATGGATGTTCCATTTCAGACGAAAAAACGATGCCCTCTTGTACCTCCTGTCACACCGCCACCGGCACGCAACTCCAAAAATGTCCTCGTCTGGGAAACTCCGCAATAGCACTACTATTTATTTTTATTATAGTACTTATTTCTCACCGTCGACCGACGCATCTAGATGTATTTAAGATATTGTTTATCTTTTCTCAGGAATATACACGTCTGTAGCAGCCTTCTCAATGATTTCATTACTTCGCTGCCTTAGCTGAGTCCCCGATTTGGAGTTATCTGGACGGACAGTAACTCAAATTGTACATAGACTTACCTTTGAAGTTGGTCTAGCTAGAAATGTACAAGATTTACTTTGGAGTCCTTCTGGACTATTCGGGTCTAGATTGGGATGACTGGCGAACAGTTATGGCGACTTGCAGACACCCGCGTCGTTGTGCATAGGAGTGACGAGAGCGGGAAGCTGATTGTGGTTCATTATTACTGATCGCGTGTCAAATAGTGTCTGCTACGTCATCGATGGGGGAGGTGTTTCGTTTGGCCAATATCGTCATCATCA